AAAGAATCGTAAAAAAAAAAAAGGGGGGGGGGGGGGGGGGAATGATAAAATAAATTGTGATGTGTTTATGGCTGTAATCCTTCTTGTTTCTCTTCCAGTGAAAATGTTTCCGTAAGAGGACGGTATCCTGTACAATGAAGACGCTGCCTTCACACACCCTTGTCAGCCTGTTCTTACCGTGTGTTCCACAGGCCGGAAAAGGAGTCGCATACCAAAGGACCTCCTGCAGCGTTGAAGCACATAAGAGGAACGCCGTCATAACAGGAAGATCACGTTAATATATCAGTGCAGAATGTCTGCGGCTGTGCAGCCCCCTGCGGCCTTAGAGTGCAACAACCGCTCTACCTTACTAACAGTATAACTTGGCATCACTCACATGTAATCTCTGGCTTTATGTGTTGAATGTAAATGAAGATCTGTTTTATGATCATCTAAGACCAGAGGACAAGTGTGACACAATATTCAGAATGTACTGCAACAGAACGCTGCTACTAGCCTGCGAGGGGTTTCTGGTAGTGAGACCCACAATGCATTCAGCATAGCTTGCCAGCGGAATTGCTGATTGTGGATTTGCTTCTGGTGCTGAAACGATGCTGACCGCTCTAAAGCTGCACTGCAAAAACAAAACACGTTGTGCATTTTCTAGCTATTTTAACCAGTTTACAGGTTAATAAGTATGACATTGATTGGGTTTAGGTTGTCATGAAGAAAAGGCTGCTATGCAGAGGTACGTTACCCAAGAGGTGTGTTTTTACTTCAGAGGTCCTCCCATCTCTGACTCCAGTCACAGCCCACCTCAAAGTTTCATGTTGATTTCGACCATTCTGGGGGTTGGTGAGCGTAGAGCCCACCTCTGTCCCTCCTGACAAGTGTGATGTTATTAGGCCGACCCTAGCCAGTCCCCTCTTAAGCTGTCAGTCAGTATGACCAGTCTATAGAGGTGGTGCACATACAAAGAGAGGTTCACTCCCTTTTCTTCATAACAAAAGGAATGATCAGCACGTGCTCACATGTTAGAATATCTCTGCAATAACTGCTGCTTCTGATGCAAGTGCGTCAACCCCTCAAGGACAGATAGTCATCCGACCGTCACAAGTGGTGCTTAGAACATTCATAACTTTTGTATTGTGCGTGGCCCCCATATGAAAATGATCATCTTTATAAAGATTTGGTTATGTTGTTCCCTTATGGCTGTACAAGTCTCCAATGAAAAATATTCACTTTTCTTTATTTGCCAAAAAGGAGCATACAATCCACAGGGGTCTATTTCTACCGCCTACATTTGCCCCTTTTTATCTGACTGCTCGTTGAGGGACTTTCATGTGCTTTATAATCTCCTGCTGAAATCTGACACATTTGACAAATTATATTCTACCGGGTTTGAATTGTGTTCAGTGTATATCTGTCCTCTTGGGACAACAACTTGCCTGGATCAGAAAGGACTGTAGCACATTCTTTTCAGATCTGTCACTTTTGCTGGAATATACATTCGGGAGACCTCGGCAAATATTAATGGGACCCGCAATATAGTGCAGACACTGCTGATTGTCGGCATAGAGAACATAGAAGCTTGTACAAGCCTAGTGGAACTCGTTTGGAAAGTTGATCATTTTAGATTCCTGCTTCACAATATCAAAGTTAAAGATAGATTATTAAACTTTGAGGGGCCCCTTCACACCTACCTGTTCCATTGTAGTGTGTTACCGTGCACATTAACAAGGGATGCCTTACAGCAGCCCATTCATTTTTATTATTGTCGTGTACCACAACATGCTGAATGTGCATTGTGATGCACTGGAGTGCTGATTCTTTGGCACCTACTTTCTAGATGCAGCACAGGACAGAGTGCTGTGCATGAACCGCAGCTCATATGTGTGAAGGGGGCCTAAAGAAAATCTTTAATGAGTTGGCTGACTGTCATGCCGATCCTTTGACCGAGTACAAGTAAGCAGCCAGTGATGTCATCCCTCGTTCTGCATACTTATTCCAACTCGGTGACTCCAACTTAGCCATTGGACAAGCATGACACCCAAGCAGCTTGCATGTTTAGAAGGAAGTCATCAGTGGCAGACTATTTCTATATGGCTTTCTTTAAGGCTTATTCCAGCAACACTGAAAATTAATTGGGGGATTATTTCTCTTCACTTGTAGGTCTGGCAGGTTCTTTGCGGTGCTGTTAATGGTACCAGTTTGCTTTGGCTTTGCTTGTAATTTAAAATCAGGACTGCATGTTTTTTTCAGTAAAGCTTTCCTGCACAGATTGTGAATTGCCCAGGCGTGGGTTTACATTCAGCACAAGTCCCTGTAGTGTAGATTATGTCGCACATCATTTATAATAGCAGCTGAGTGGATTTGTAAATTATGTGCACAAATTTACATATCGTACATGGAGTAATGCTGCATGTGTTTGTAAGTTGTTTATCTCCTGCTGGAGGGTCTTAGTGTCTTATAGCACCCGCCAAGTTACTAAGCTGCCCATTTACCTGCAGGTATAGCTGCCCCAGACTTCTCCTTCTTGGAGCAAGCCGTCATATCTGCAACAGATCTGGCCATTGATCTGACCTTCGTGTGATCCACACAGGTTTCTACTCTCTATATGGTGTCGGTGACACTGACATCTCTTGAACAATTGCATATCCCATCATGCCCAAATTATACGTCACTGCATAATTATTGTATGCTAAGGTTGGTGGTCGGCCATACATTCGTGGATTGTCTGAAGGTAATCTGTACATTTATAGGCACCATTGGCCCTCATTCACACAGGTGTCAGCTTGTAAGGGTTAGTTTGAAGAGTAGTGTATATGGCAAGCTTCTACAAAACAATTACCAGAGTTTAAAAGTGGAACTTTAAAGGAGAAAGGAAGGAAGAAAACAAACTACTATGTCCAGGTTGGAGGCTAAAAATGCTAGTGTTATGTTGCATACTACTGTTAGCTGTGAGCTTCAGACACACAGACTGATGGTCCCAGGTAGTATATCATAAAGGATCAAGCAGCTCCCCCCTTCTCTCCCCTCGTCCATTTCCAAAAAAACTTGTATTCTGTTTATTGAATACAAGACATTCTGTGAATAGCTGTGGGGAGAGGAGGGGCGGGTAAACCATAGGTTCTCCCATCGTCCATTCACAGAACACCCCCATGTCATAGAGTATACGAGAGGTAGTTCCGTCCCACAGCAGCATGCTTCTCCTCCATAGCAGGATACAGTATAGTCAGTGAGCTTTGTCACACCCGGACAGGAATTGTGTTACTGGCAGGACAAAATAAGGGAAAGAAATGCCTGAAAGCTTCACTATATGAAATGATTGTCCTTCGGTTTACACTTTAATGTCCCCAAACTGGAGAGATAAAGGATGCTATTAAGGTTTTAAGAAAGCTCTTTGAAGCTTTGTAAATGCTTGCTGTAAACACTGCCGCTCAGACTAATGTTTCCAAGGACTTGCCTACAGGAACCATTCCCAAGGAGAGCATTTGGTGGTAAAAATCACATGACAGCAGCTGCTCTTCCCATAGTGTAGGCCATTGCGCTTGTCCTCTGAATACTTTTAAATTAGGGATGCACCGATACCAGTGCCGATACTTGGCATTTTCATGCGAACTACCAGGGTTGCAGCGGTTGCAGCTGGGACCGGGCTCTGGCGCTCCACCACTGTCCTGAAATCATTAGTCTGTATTGTTTTAGAAAAACTGTCACATGGCAATAAACAAAAATGTATCAGTACTCGTACCTGTGAGTACTTGGACGAGTATCAGTACTCGTACTTGGAAAAATGGCATCTGTGCATCACTTATATATATTTATTGAAAGTCATACATTTAAAATAGAGATGTACAAATCTGGGGAGCTCCGTGTGCTCCTTACAAATGACAGCGGCCTCCTAACTTGTGACTTTTTCTCTAGTCTAGTCTCGCAGCTGGAAACGTATCCGTACTTGTACTGAGTATGGTACTTGGTATCGGTGCATCCCTAATTTAAATGACTAGAAACCTAAAGTTGCGGTAGATAGGAGTAGCTGAGCTTAGGACTTGGCACTGGCCGGAGCACCCCTACTCCCACTCAGCCGCACATTTTCAGTGTTTGATGGAATAATCATAGAGGAACTTGTGCTATGAGAAGGTTCAGCACTGCACGACTCATCTGGCAGGGGGAGGTCTGCTTCTACATCCCAATCCTTTCCCTGTAAGTGCCTTTACTCAATCAGTCTGTTGGGTCATTTAATATCATTAAGGTAAACCTGTCACAAACCTGTCTGCAGAAACTATATGAAGATCTCAATCTTTCCTGTAAAAGTTGATCTTGGTACTGGTTCATGAGACCACCTTGCACATTAAAGGACTATTGGGGGAAGTCCTGGGGCCAAGCTTGAAATACAGGAAATGCAAGTTCAGCTACCTGTAGCTCTTGTTTACTAATAGTTTTGGATTGTTTTCCCTGACAGTTTATATATTGTTTATATGTTGTCATCTTATGCTTTTCTATACTTTGTTGTCATCACAGGCTCTTTTTGTACTTTGTCATCTTATGCTTTGTTTATATTTTCTTTTAATACAAAGGCTCGGCATGGATCACTCAGGTTTGTGAGAGTTTTCCTTCCTAAGCTATTGCTTTGTCCGTTCTGTGTGCCTTTTACTTTGAGACTGGCTGTAAATGTACACGGCTAAGGAATTCCTACAGACGAGGACCCCTGTTCAGGATTACATGCCTTGTAGGGTCACAGACAGAGCGGGGGTTAATATATTCTTTGTTCCCTCCACCATAGTTGAGATGTTTGTACTCCGTGTAAAGTGTTAATATTTGGACTGTTAAAGGAAGCCATTCATGTTTATTTATTTTCTTGGTGGCTGGTAGGACACAGAACTGTATTTACTGTATATTAAAATAAATTTAACTGGGACAGCTTTTACGTCTGAGTAAGTGTGTGTATTTCAATGCAGCATTTCAAGGGAACCTGTACTGAGAGGCTGACATTGCTGACATCTGCTAGTTGCCTGGCTGTGATGCTGATCCAATGGCTTCAATAATTAGTCATTATCCAGAACAAGTATTCTTATCTGAAGCTCTAACTAACTAAGACTCCATTCACACCTAAGCGCATTGTCGCGTGTCAATCAGCGTGACAAGACACTCGGCCTCGGGAATTCCATTCACACCTGGGCGTTTTGTCGCAAGTAGAAATATGCCTGTCGCACAAAATACTACATGAGCTACTTTGGGGGAGATTCAGTGTGTTTTCTCCCCATTGACTCAATAGAAAACGCTTGAAAAAATGCGCATTGCAAATATTTTTGAGCAGATTCAGCACATTTTGCTGATGCACATGAATATGCCACAATCCGCTTGTAAAAACGCACAAAAAAACGTGGGTAAGAAGCGCGTAATAGGCGTCGCTTAGGTGTGAATGCAGCCTAAGGACCGGTGTTGATGGGCTTTGGGCCTCTGTTGATGGCATCAGTTTGACAAAAGTTTGTGATGCTTTTGAGATCATTCAGAATTCATTGGCAGGTGCATTTGACTTTTAGTTGGACTGATTTCAAATCCCAAAGACTTGTAAAACCCATCTGCTGTGAACAAACGTTCTTCAACACAGGTCATAATGCGTCTGCTCATTTCAGGGTCTGT